CCCCCCCCCCCCCCCAAATACAGTGTGAATTAGAGATGGAGACTAGTAGTATTTCTAGTTCCCCTTCCCATTTTTGCCAAAAAGGGTGAATGATCTTGCAGAAGTCATAGTACTGATTTGTGCTTAGTTTTTCCATCTGTGAAACCTGACAGAAATGTCATAAGGCCTCATTAAATTAATGCTTCTAGAATTAAGTAAGCAATTTTAGAAGAAAGAAATACAGTGTGAATTAGAGATGGAGACTAGTAGTATTTCTAGTTCCCCTTCCCATTTTTGCCAAAAAGGGTGAATGATCTTGCAGAAGTCATAGTACTGATTTGTGCTTAGTTTTTCCATCTGTGAAACCTGACAGAAATGTCATAAGGCCTCATTAAATTAATGCTTCTAGAATTAAGTAAGCAATTTTAGAAGAAAGGCGCTGTAGCAATGCAAGCCGCTGTCGTAACTTTGCCAGCTACCAGAAAACCATACACTGTAAAACAGGTTTGGTGACCCATCTTTAAAAAAATATGTAAAAAATGCGGGTGATATTAAGACAGGAAAACATTTGCTCATGAGTTCAAAGCATCTCCTCCACTTAGAGGAGGAGCAAAATTTGTTGCCAGGAATAGGTGCCCTTTAAAAAAATGGATCAAATTGTACAGATATTTTAAAGTGGTCGCTTACCCCAGGAAGTTGAGTATGGAAAGCAGATGCTTGCCCTTTAGCTGCCTCCAGTACTTAATACTCTATGGAGCAAACTGAAGCTCAATGAACAGTCTGCTTTGTGAGATTGCTAAAGTATGGTAAATACCTGCAAAACCAACTCTTCAGGAAAATGTGATCAGTAGCTCTACATCATCATTTTCTTTCTAACTCTAACCTAATGCCACCTCCTTAAACATCCTAGATAAGAGACAGTGGCCCACCTTGTTTCTTGTGTAAAGAACAAACACCTTGTTCAGTCTATTAATCATCTATATAGTGAGGCACAAGATGTTTGGATACAACACTGATGGGCAGAGTGTGAGAATCTAATTAGAAGAATAAAGAAATTACCTGCTGAATAAGAACTCCAGAGAATGGTCAAAAGCAAGATGAGGGTGGTGGTGGTAGTACAAAATGCTCTAGCGAAGTGTTTCATGCTGGGAGTTTAGATCCGAGTCTGAATTTGCTTTGCAGTCGCTAGCACCTTTTGGAGATGATTCTGCAGGTCCTGGATACAATTGTCAAGCCCAGTGACCAGTGGAAAGGGTGGAGCAAACTCTGGCTGCCAGTACACCTTGAACTTTCCTATCATACATTGTACAATGAAAGAGAAAGCCTTTACCCAAAACAAAAACCGGCCTGTTGGCAGCCCTCAGGGTTAGTTAATTTACAAACAGTGTAGCTGGTAGAGGTTTCCTGAAGGTCAGGTTCCATTTTCTTTGCAGAATCTACTGTAGTTAGAGACCAGGCCAGTGCATGGGGATCAGATCAGTCCCTCCAGCAATAGCCCTTGGTCTGCTCTTGTTCTTAGCAAGATTAGAGGGACTTGGAAGGAAATAGAGGTTCAGCGGGGAAATCTATCATCCGTTTTGATCTAACACCTGGATGACCCCGCACACTTGCCAGTCTCCCCTATATCACCTAGCAGTTGTGTTTTTAACCTTCTTCTGCACAACCTTTTCTATGCATCAGAGAGTAATTCAGGCTGTAGGCCCATACCTTTGGACCCAGCGGAACAGAGATCCGCCTTCAGCTTCCTTTGTGCAAAATGAAGTTTATTTTCTGCCTATGGGGACTTTTTACCATCTTTAATTTTCCCTGAGCCTGAGAAAGGGCACGTGTGCCCAAAAGCTTGCAAACAAAGGTATTTTTTTGTTTTTTTGTTTTTTGCAATTGCTTAGTTGGTCTAATGAAAGGTATCATCTCCGAACCAAGAGTTCTAGAGTTGTGCAGACCTTCTTGGGCATTTTTCTTACAGAGTCCACGAAGTGCCAATTGGCCAAAGTGCCAAAGTACCTTCGAACCTGAAGGAGTGAGCGGGGAGTTTAATTGTCCACAGACATTCAGTTTTTGCCTCTTAGCTAAGGTGAAAGTCCCATGCCAAGAAAGATGTGGTTTCATCTGTGCTGAAATGACCACCACCAATTCTATACTGGCAATGAAAGGCTCCGTATCTCTCTACTAATCCCCTTAAAAATACCTGGTACTGGAGATCCATACTTTCCATGATGAAATCAATTGATTCAAAGTTTCCCCATAGGAAGAAAACTCAGCATGTGTAGGTGAATATAAAGACAAACAGCTGAAATGGGCATGTTTACAGTTATCTACCAGGTCTTGCCTTTTGTTTTATGTTTTTGCTTGTTCACTCTTTGCACCTGATGCAGTTCATTCTTGGCACCTGATGAAGTTGCCACTGCCCAGAGCCAGTCTGTTATGGGCTGTTCTTGCTGGAGCCATCCATCTGTGTACCCTGCACGTTCCTTCTGTTGACACTGAAGCACTTGTGGATAGTGATGTGTTGCTTAACAGTAGATCTGGATGTATGATCAAACTCTGTCACACAGGAATCTTTAAATAAATAAACCCTTGCAGGACTGGCTGTTCTTAAAAAGTTTCTTTGTTCCCCAGGCAGGCATCTTATGCCTTTTAAAATTGACCTACAGAATCCTTTTAGCTATTAGTAATTTTCATATTGAGGGCTTTCCTTTATTTTCTGAAATGTGTGCTTTAACGTGAGCACCATGTTATCTCAAGAACAGAAACAGTTTACTGAGAAGAAAGTCCTCTGCCTTCCTTCACCCTTCTCTCTTTAAATTTCTTATCTTTGGTTTCTGCTGGAAGTTGGTCTTGTAATTAATTCTGCAACCATGAGCAACATAAATGCTCAATGTATAATAGAAATGTTTGGGAGGAAAAAGTAAAAATAACTCCATGGTTGCTTAGTGAAAAAAAAATGTGCCCTGTGATAAAACACCTTTAAAATTCTAACCATTATCCAAACAGTATGCGTCTGGTTATATTTAACAATTTCTAACTCTAAGAGAGACTATCTGCCTTCAGGCTATTTGCACAGCTAAAGAGTATTTTATGTGCAAGAAGATTTATTCCTTTACTTTATTCGTTTAATTGTGATGCCCATGATGTGCCTGATCCTAAATCCATTGAAATCAATGGACAGACTCCCTTTGACTTCAATAGGTTTTGGATCAGGGTTAAAATTAAGCACTTGTCTAATGAGCTCAGCTATCATACAGCATCAGCCAGCCCTGCTAAAAGTTCTCCTCGCACATAACTGGAATTTATTTCACACCTTACCTGTAACATTTTGATATTTCAGTGCTGCCTCTCTCTTTAGCAGAGGCCTCTCATCATGCTGAATTGCATTAGGAGACTCTCTGAACTAGTTTCTTAGTTTTGATCTATTCCAATATTTGAACTTCAGTATCTGGAGGGGAAAGGCTAGTTTCTGAATTAGAGAAATTATAAATGGGAAAGAATGTAGGCCATCTTGTCTGTTGTCTACCTTAGATTTTTCTTCTCCATATTATTCCAGTTTCCAGGGACACTTCTTCCAGCTCCCTATTGCAGCAGGTTCAACTATAAGTATAAACCAGTTAGCCTGTATTCACTGTAGGATGGTTGATTAAGCCAAGTGAAAGAGGGGCCAAATATCAGGGTACACAAATCCAAATGTCCCCTGAAAGCATACTTAAACATATATACATATATCTGGCTGGTTCAAGGAATTATATATCTCTATATATAGCTATATATATATAATTCCTTGAACCAGCCAGATTAACACATGTACACACATCCTTACTATTTCTTTCTCTTACTGTTTAGTGTATTACCATTTGGATCTATTTTCTACATTCTTAGATTATTTTGTCAACTTCCAAGTCAACCAGGATGATACCTGGTTGGATACGTTTTGATGAGCTACCCAACATAGAAAATATAGGGTGTATCCATTAATCAATTCCTGGCCACTTATTCCTTTTAGGCAGCTCCCAGTTCTAGGTTGTTCACTAGTTTCTTTGTTCTGAGCTGGAGTCTTCTGATCATCAAGCAAGCCCTAGCTTGGGAGACCTTAAGAAATTCATCCTTTCTTACCATCCCAGGGAGGCCTAACATCAAGCTCAGCTAACATGTATTTCCAAATGCCCTGCCCAGCTTATTTTCCATTGATGGAGCTTCCTCAATTATTCCTGGGGCTCTGTGCCATCCTCCCACAGCCCTGTTAGGCACTTTTTCCTGAAAATGTCAAAAGTGGGATTTTGTACTCTTTTAGTGATTTTTGCTTCATACTACCTGACATTGAAATGTCTGTGGTAAAAGCTGCCTCCTGGGTTTCAGTTTCTCTCTTACTGCTCTTCATAGCCCAACTGCCGTTGTGACCCTTGGTGTATGATTATTTTTTTGCAGTCTCATCTGAAGCTAATCTCTGCTGTAACCCTGGTGAAGTAATAGGATGAGGGAGTAGCGTACATGGCATTCCATAACCTAAAATAGCTAAAGCAATACAAATTCCCTTTTTGAACAAAGTACTTTGTCTTCAATAACTGTTTCTAGCACTTCCAGCCCACCTGAGTTGTGGCCTTTGTTCTGCTATTGCAATGAGCAGCTTTGGTGTAAAGAAGGCTTATTTATTTAGGTGCTGTTAGGATACGTTGTACGCAGGTCTTTCTGGCTTAATCAGGGAAAGTCTCTCCAGTTCCATCTGGCAGAGCTGCTGCACACAGACAACGAGACACTGACTCCAAGATACAGGAGTAAGTAGAATCACCAAACACTCCGCCTGGCTAGTTACTTAAGGTGATGGCGGTGTTGGGGGAGGCAGGTGCTTTCTGGAATGGAGTTTATTCCATTGTCTGGTCACCCACAGTGGTAATTTAATCTTGGATAACACTCTTTTTTTAATAATGTTCTCCATGCAAACTACCGATGTAATGAAGTAGATTGCCCTTTCGACGTCTATCATCAGTCCATGGAAGTAATACAAATGGCATTTACTTCATTCCATATTCACTGGTCAACTAGTTGGAGTCAGTCTTCTTTAGCAAATCAGGGATCTTAGCCATGCTGAGCTAGGGAGGTCCATACATCTGGACATGCCATGCCCCTTCCCCCACTCTTTCAGCTATGCGTCACAATAGCTTTTCACTGTAGTTCTAGGTCTGGTCCTGAAAACACCCTGGATAAACAGAGAAGAGGCTTATCATTTGTCCAAAGAAGCTAGAAGAAAAACCAGGTAGCATTAAACTAATAGTACACCGCAGCCTTATTTTGAGAAAGGATGAACTGCGGTTAAGCCTCAGACTTAGGAGATATTTTATGGCATTGATACACCTCAGCCAATAAATGAATGATTGTTTTCATTCTCTAGGATTATACTCATGTCTAGCAACCTCTTTGGATGGCACTGAACTCTTTGACCAATACTATCTTCTCAAAGTACTGTTTGAAAAGGGAGAAGCAATACCTTGTCTTTCAGTAGGTCAGTACCTGGCCCCAGTTAATTGGTCTCAGTTTGTGCTGAGGTTTTCTT